CTGGTGAGCTTTTTTTATTTTTCCTTTTTCTTTTTTGTTATTGTCGGCGACATACACGTGGCTGTGAATTGTGGGCGGAAGATGGACGGCAGAGACGGGAGCCACGTCAGAGAGAAGTGATCGACTTTTAAGCATGAACAGACTGGCTTTGCGTTAACAGAAATTTCTGGGGAGAAGCATACATCCGTCCTAATGTAAAATCTTCTGCGCATCACATTCATGAGGGAACAGAAAGTGCGAAAGCAGAAGGCTCAAAGCTGTATAACCACCTTCCAAATCCTAAAATATCATAATTTTTTGGTAAAATATCAAAAGTAAAATAGTATTCAATATCTTTGTATATTTTTTAATATTTTAATCTTATTTATGATGTATTTAGCATTTTAATATTATGCATCCAATACAATAAACTATAAATAAGATTATGATATTAAAGGTGATTTGAGAATATATTAGCATACTAGATATAATATACATAAGAAAACTTTTAAGTACTAAGTTGCAAGATTATCTTGAAAACGCTTGACACTTAAAAGATTTTGTGACTGCAAATTTATTTTAGAAATTTAAAAGCGTAACAATTTTACTCGTTACTGTTAAAGCGAACCTAACATTCACCGTTAAAATAATAAAACAAATAATTTCACAGTTTCGTTTTTTTAAAAAAAAAAATTTTGACAACTAATGATGAGAGAAATCCAGAGAAGGTGCTTCCTAAGCAAGAACAGGCTGGATTCGCGTTGCTCAATAATACGGTGAGACACGTGTAAGATCTTTATTGGTTTGTTTCGGGAGTTGACTCTTATTTTTTAAGGCGCAAAAAACAAAAGCAAACCCGTTTGTCTGTCTTCGGGGAAAAGAATTAAAATAAAATAAAATAAAGTTACGTGTATCTGACTCATCATAGGATCATATGATTATGAAGTCTATACCTAATGGTGGTTAAGTCGGATTAGAATAGAGTTAAGAGTTGAGATCTCCTTGATTAGAGAAAAAACAAAGAATAATAATATTAACTTTTATGTTAAGAAATTAAAGAAACCATAGAATCGAAGCCTCACAAACTTGTCAAAATTGGGCCTACGTCAAGCTAGCTAAGCCCATCTTTGATACCATAAAAAAACATGCTACTCACCTTTCAAATATAAGAGCCAGGAGACGAGGTTTTCTAGTCTTAATTATAGGATATTAATTTACCATATCTTCCAAATTTATTATTCTTTTTCCAAAATCTTCTTACACATATTAAACAATATTAATCAAGAAGTAGTTTCTAATGGAAATAATTATATGAAGAATTTAGAAAAATTAACACTTTTTTTATAAATAGTTAATTTGACTAATCTTCTTAATTTGTACAAATAAGTTAATTAGATGTTACGCTACCTCTTGTCCTTAATATAATATTTAAATGACTAATTTGAGAACATTAGAAAAACCAAATAAATTAGCTTAAACTATTGAAGGAATTGCTGTGAAGTTTCAAGTAAGGAACATACTTACTAAAAAATCTTAGTGATAACAAAGCAGCTTACAATAACAAGTTTTAAGGCAGTAAATGACAAATGTTCTTTTGTTATTTGGACTTAATAATAATTATTATCTTTCTTTGGTACCTCATTACAATTCTCTTTAAAGTATTTATATTTATCTTTTTTTCCAAACTAATTTATCTAACTTATAAATTGATATATAATCTAATGATGCACATAAGTATTTCAAAGAGATAATGTAATATATGATATAATTAAGTGATTTATTTAGATTTTTTTATTTTCATAAATTAATTAGATAAATCTTATACTCCTCTGCTCCTAAATCCTAAATATAAAACCCATTTTGTAATGCAAATTACATTACAAAATAGGTCTTATATTTAGAATTAGAGGAATATTAAATACCGGAAGTAATATTTTGAACGGACGGTGTAGTTGATTTGAGGTCTTGTGTGGCTTTGAGTGTGATGGATGATCATAGTCCACATCAAAAGGGGAGGTTCATAATAGGTCCTTATATCATGTGTAATCTCAACCCTTAGAAGAGTTCATTGTATCCATTGCGATTATTGTGTTATTAATCAAAATGTTCTTTGTTCTCTTTAAAGCAAGGTTGAGTGATAATTAGCTAGAGCACAAGATAACTATAAAGTAGACAATAAATATGTCTAAATATGAAAGCCAAAGTCAAGTATAATTAGAAATTATATTATTTGTATGAAGGAAAAAAATTTAAAAAATCTTGTGGGAGTTATTGCCCCCACAAACTTGCATAATATTACACACGCGCATATATAAAAGAATTATCAGGAACTGCCTAGAGAGTTGCAGACAATATGTGAAGTGTTGTAAACCTAAGCAAAGATGGTTTCCACCTATTGTTGTATAGCTGCTCATGTCTTGCATGTTGTGTTATCATGTATGAGCCAATTTGTTTTATAATCAAACAAAAAAGGAGTCAATATCATTATTAGTTCTCATCATTTGATTAAATTTTTAGTTTTAATCCCTGGAATTTTAAACTATTGGTTTTTGATTTCTATAGGTTTATAATTTTTTTGTCTAAGTTTATTTTTTAATAGGTTTTGATTTTGGTCTTTATCCTTAAATTCAGATTAAGTCCTTATGAAAACGTAGAAATCAAAATTAATGATTTGAAACTACAAGGACTAAAACTAAAATTAGATCAAATTATAACGACCAACGTAATCCTAAAAAATTATTTGAAACTCTTATTTTTTGTTTGGATGGAATAAAAAATAAGAGAGAATAATTTATATTGAAATTAAAAGCATGCCAACTTTATTAAATATAATAAGAGCAGCAATAAATAAAAGGGGGGCAAGATCTGGGGAAAATATGAAATTTGCAATTTTGTCCTATAATCAAGATTGGAAAGAGCAAGTCAAAATTACCCGCCTCACCCTTAGTATAAAAGTTGTTTGATTTAATTTTTTCTTATTAAGTGTGTCACAAATTGAATTTTTTTTCTCAAGTCTTTATTTTTTATTTCCTAAAAAACTCTTCCCAAGTGTCCACTTGATAATCAATAAATCAAATCATAATTATTATTTCTTAGTGTTTCTTGAATTTGGATTCTTTCCTCGTCTTTTTCCTCCTTTTTTTCCCCTCCTCATCCATGCCCATCACTAGATTATCAAATGAATGGTTAAGGTTTAATAATTTATAAAATTACAATTATAATGTTACATAAAAATAAATAAACAAAATTTAATCTAAACAATTAACACTGTAGACTACAAAAAATTGAAAACTAAATTGAATTTATAAAATATTGAATCTCAACCATTCAATATTTTTTCTTAATGAAGTGTGTACATATGAAAGAAGAATTAGTACTAAAATAGGCTGACTTGGGTAGAAAGAAAAATTGATGGTGGTGTTTGGATTTGATTTGCGGGACTGCCTTGAAACCTACTCGATCGGTGTGGAATGTGGATAGGCACGTAAGTTAAGACAGCTTCAATTATTGGCTCTTTTTTTTTCAGATAATTAGGTGATGAATAATGAAAGTAATATAAGAACCACAAAAAAAAATACTCTTAAAAATCAATAAGCTCATCATGACTCATGAAAACTAAAAGTGAATCGTGTTTAATTATTTATTTAAATAATTAAAAAAATCGTAGTACATAAGCGATGCGAGCATCATTTAGAGAGGATCTGATTTCACATAGGAAAATCATTACTACTTGAGATCTTTTAAAGGATTATGAAAGAGTCTATTGTATTTATGACGCTTTTAACACATACACACATTCTTGTTGTTATGGTGAGATTATTGGTACCATTATAGCGCCTAGGTCATTCATACCCACTTTGTTTGGCATATGTTCTTAGATGAAAGTATTAGTAAAAAAAGTTTGTTTTGGATTTAAATATAATATTTTTGTTATTGCTTACAACTTGATGGAATTTTTGTCTTAGTCTCTACAGTTTCAACTTTCAAGTCTTTGGTTTTTGTCCCTATAGTTTTTCCCATCCAAAATGTTAGTCTTTATAATTTTATAAGGATTTGGATTTACGTATGTGAAGAACAAAATAAAAAAATCTTTAAAAATATAAAGACTAAAATAAAAACTCATTAAAAATATAAAGACTAGAATTAAAACCTCTTAGAAGTATAGATAAAAAATAATGACTCCAATTTCTCCTTTTTTAAGGGAAACTAAGGAAAGTCCTCATTTGGCAAAATTGTTTTTAGCCGAAAGAACTTGGTGCAATCATTCTCAATAGGCATAACTCTTCTTCAACTACTTATATCCTATCCTCAACTATGTGTAAAAAGTTTTCAACATGAAAGATATATTGCATATAGCTAGAAAAGAGTTGCGCTTGCTAAACATAAGAATTCAAAGCATGAATTCAAACGTTGAAGATCATTATTTTTGTTCATATATTAACAATAGTGTTAATTCCTTTTTTCCTTAACTTTTCCTATTAATTGCGTGTATTAACGAAAATCTTCATCCGGGGATTAGTATCCATTGTAGATTATTAAAAAGGATATTTTAAAAAAATCAATACAAATTTCTTACAAAGAACTAATTTAATTTATTTTCTTAATATTAACAAATTAATTATCTAACTCTTACATTTAGGATCAGCAGGAGCATAATCAAAATAAATAAGCTAACACTTTATAATTTCTTGCTATCTACCAAACACATTTGTAGCTTAAAATTGGCTTTAATTCCCCTACAAGCATAGCTCTCTTTGCCACTCCCTTTTTCCACTTGTCTGAAAATAACTCCACCTTACCAAACATATTCTTAAGGAGGAACAAAATGGTTGAGTTGCACAGTTTAATCAACTGTTTTAACAACTCTAACAACCACTTCATTATTATAATATGTATACCCCTCTTCTCTAACATACCAAACTTCAATGCGCAATAAGTAATTGGTATCATTCGAGCCAGCTTGCTCCTAAAGCCATAATCTTGTAATTAAGTCCTCCTCCATAAATAGATATATAACTGGAAGATGCAGTGAGGTCTTGGATTGAAGCCATTCATAATACCATAGAAGAAATGAGAGACCGCATAGAACGATTACTTGTTCTTCCATTTTCCTTCTCATGTTCCTCCCCTTCGAGTCTTGAATTAGGTAATTTCAGTTATTGTTTTGTATTCATCTTATAGCTTTTTTTTTTTGGTAACAACATTATAATATATGACGTTCAGCACTATCTATGTATATATTAATCTAAATTTGAGTATTATTGATTTAAAATATGATTAAGTTTTCTTATATCTATTAGATCCCATCTGCGTACAAAATCTCCCCCTTTTAATCAAAACCTCCTTTCAAGTTATCGATTTGTTCATATATGAAATACGAGGTTCATTTGCAAAATATATAAATTAATTTGACAACAAAATATTGAAATCTTAAGTTCAAATTTTACGATTGATAGCTTTATAAATCCTTTATCTATATATATATATATATATATATATAAATAGAGATGTACGGAATAAATTTGGCTGGGGCACAAATCAAGCGCTATATATCTTGCCTTTCCTTCACCTGGAACTAAATATATACCGTTTTTCTTGAAACAGTTCTAAATATTGATCAAACATTGATTTACTTGGCTCAAAGGTGGAATAGGTCAAATGTTTGTGAGTTAAACCCATATTATCATCTTCATAATAATATCTTTCTTTGAACGTTGTTTGTCTTTTGTATGCACATCTTGTTCAGTTTATTGTGTAATGGACAACATACATGCCAATAGTTTTATGACTTGGCATCATGAAATTCTCTCTTACTGGTCAGAAGACACAAGTTTCATCTTGCTGACAATTTTATGTAAAGTGCACTAGGCCACAAGGCCAACTCTGCGGTATGCTTATATATCATGATATTAAAATTCAACTTGAATTGACCGATCAGACTGATAAACAGGCAAACCAGTCACTTCATGGATCTGATCAAGAGTTTTGAAACCACGTTGAATTTCATATTATTTTTTTCACTTGCTGAGTATAAAACGACATCATTTTGAATTAAAAAAAGTAGAAGGAAAAAAGTGGCATTCTTTAAATCACAAATGTTATATATAATTTTTTTTTAAATTTTAGATAAATTGTATTATTCTACTCATGATTCTGTTGGCCCTCATTTAATCATGATTAAACCACTTGCTCTTGAATTAATATCTTGACCGGTTTAATAATCACTATGATTTTCAAACTACCTAGTTATATACTGCAATTATACCATGAGTAATTTGAGATTTTGTAATATGTGTAAGGAAGACAAGGAAGAAAAGAAAAGTGGTATAGGCGTGAAATGAAGAGAAGCAACGGATCATTTGGGTTTGTGGCTTTCCAAAAGCCTAAAATAACTGGTGGCCTACATCGACTCATAAGGAGAATCAAGAGTTTTTCTCATCCATTATGTGAGTGGGACCCAATATTTTATTCATTTTCTTTTATATATATCGTTCATATAGATAGGTTTAATTAACGTCTTGTGTATGTTTTTTCTTTGAAGTGATTCATGCAGCAAAATGGAATTTGAGAAATGAGTTATATTGTTTATTGTGTCTTCAATATTTATCCATTTTACTCTCAAGTAATCTTTATTGTGATTGCACATATTGATGAGTTCATGAAATAGTAATTTCAATGCATATGATTGATAGGAGTATTTTAGGAAGATGGCATCTAGTTATTGTAAATAACTATCTTAATTAATTTTTTTAATTTTTATAAATTAGTTATTTAACTCTTATATTCAGGACTGGAGGTATTATTGTTTAAGCTAGGCTCATTATAAAATCTAAATTTTTATATATAAGACTCTAATTTGATCTTATATATAAGATTCCAATTTATCTTTTTCTCAGTTGGAAGACCCCGATGTACTTTGCATCCAATATTTATCTATTTTTCTCCCAAATAATCTCTATAATAATTATATATATTAAGGAGTCTCTATTAATAGATAGTTCCAATGTTCATAATTAACAAAAGTATTTTAGAAAAGGTAACATCAATTTATTACAAATAATTAACTTAACTAACTTTTTAAATACTTGCAAATTAGTTATCTAGCTATATGTAGATAAATCATTGAATCATCTTGTGGTAAGTATTTTTTCAGTTCGTAGAGATGAAATTGCGGAGATGAAAGCTGGTGAAATGGAGATAGGGTATCCCACAGATGTGAAGCATGTTACGCACATAGGACTCGATGGCTCTGTCACCACAAATCAAGACTTGGCTTGGATCCAAACTGAATTTTTTCATGTTCAACATTAATTTTTATGAATGTGTTTGTTTGATGCTCTAATTTTATACAGGATTTCGATCTAATCCCTTAATTTTTATAATATATCCTTCCGTTCCTCTAACCTTAACATTCTTAGTCTCAAATAATAATATTTTTGTGTGTTGCTTATTATTATTTTTGAAAATTAAGCTTAGCATATCATCATGTGAGAATATTTTATTAATATTGAAATTTTCAATGTTAGCATCTTTTGTTAACAACCTTAAGGTTACAAAAGAAAAAGATCCTTTATAAAAATAATGGACTATTGGTACAATTTTTCCCTTTTTTTTTTTTTGGGTATTGGAGATAGAACATTATGTAGTTGTTGAAATTTAGCAAGGTATTGAATTAGATTTCTTATACAGCTTTTAAAAAAAAAAGAATTAGATTTCTTATAACTTAGCATGAAAGAATTATATTTCTTGTAATTAATTCAACAATGTATTGGTATCATTGCCATGAAGCCATTTTGAACAAAAATATTTTTGTCAATCATTTTTATGTGTCACTTACTATTAGTTGCTCCATGGTTTTGTTTTATTTTTTTCCCCTTCTACACTAATTGTAATTTGTAGATGACAAAAGGAAATGAGTTGGTACGTTGTAGCCTAACTGATGCCAACCCCTCTTTTGAAATTTTATTAATAGTCAAATTACAAATTGGAGTTCTTAATAGAAGGTGTAATGAGTATGTGAGTTATGGAAAAAAAAAAAAAAACAAAAAGAATGGGATTAATTAAAGTTGTCTCACAGGCATTCGCATAGCTTAGTACGAATTTCAGTATTTATAATATCATTTTCTTGCCAAACACATATTTATAAATATCATTGAAAGAGTCTGTTTTTAACAAATTTTTTCACGTCAATTTCATAGTTTTAGACGGCTCCACGCTCTTGATTTAGTAACTTCTGTAAGACTGCGTAGGAGAAGAGAGCAAAAAATTTTTTAAAAAAAAAATTACAAAGAAGGAGCAACACCGCAACAGGTAAAGAGTCTCACCCTCGTGAAAAAAGAAAACACATCTCGGCTTCATAAAAATTAATCTAAAATCTAAAGTGATCTGATGATACCTTGAGTTATACAAAAAAAAAAAATACAAAGAAGTATCAAGTAAGAAATTTATTCCTTTTTTGCAATCAAGTAAGAGAATTATTTACAAATTACAATAAATTCTTACAAATATATTATGATACTCTCAAATCCATGATTCTTGATTGTAAATTTTCGCTTGTAAAATGTTACGTGTGCCTTTGACTTTGGTGAGTATTGACCACTAAAAAAACATTTAAAAAAAAAAAACTCACTTCAATACTTAACATTTAACATATGAGCTAAATAACTAATTTATAGATATTAAAAAAATTAGTTAAATTATTTAGAAACAATTTCAAAAAAATACCTCTAAAATTTGAAAATCTCAAGTTAGGAATGATTGTAAAAATATGTTATCATTTACTTTTCGAATATTGTTAATTCTTATTAAAAAAATAGTAAACAAAACTGATCTAAAATTTTGAAATTTAAACATATTTTTTGGAGATTCTTCCAATTATTTATTTGTTAAGAATGTGTATGAATTTTTCTAAAATAATCTCGTTAATCATTCCTATCAAACCTTAGAAACTTCCATAACATGTGTCAGCAATATGAATAGTTTGAAAAAAAAAAATCATAAATCGCAGAGATATAGTTAATTAAAATATTAACTTCACAATCAAAGTAACTTCCTCAAATTAAAACCAAAGTTTTAAGGGTGCTTTTTATTAAAATATTAATACTCTAATATGTTAAATTCAAAACATCATAGATTTACATGAATGCATACATAGATGCTTATAAATTACCCACCAATAAAATTCATACACTGACAATGAGATCAAAACCACACCATCATTGGGCAATTGGGCATGGGCCAAATTCTCATTAAATCGGCCAACTTCTATTCCCAAATCTTTAGTTTATTCCTATGACACATAATAGATGGTACAAGGAACATAATTCATTTTGCAGCTAGCCAAGAAGAAAGTTGGGGAGTGTCAGAGTGCTGCCATGGAGCTGATCCAACAGCAGCTCTATCTCCTTTAATGGCATCAGCAGCAACAAAAGACTCAAGCTCTGCCAATTCTTGTGGAGTGAGTTCAATTGACAAAGCCCCAATGTTTTGATTGAAGTTCTCAATTTTTGTAGTTCCAGGAATAGGGCACACATCGTTTCCCTGATGATGAAGCCAGGCCAATGCTAACTGGGAAGTACTGCATCCCTTTCTTTTAGCCATTTCATTGACCCTCTCAAATACAATATTATTGTGCTCCAGGTTTCCAGGTTGGAATCTAGGGAGACGCTGCAATGAAGTCAAAATATATGCATAAAAGAAAATTGGATCACAATCCGACACAGAAGTGAATATATATGGTGAACTTAGAAAGAGATCGAGAGAGAACAGGTTATGAGCATAGAGATGCAAGTTTCATGCATTACATATCCCCAAAATGTTTGAATACAGAATTCAATAAAATTACATCTAGATTTCAATCAATCAATAATGGACATTGCTAATTATGGGCAAAATATGATATTTAACTAGTCAGAGGTGCATACGTTTATCGTTGTTCTTCAAGATTATTTTGCCAACTCAAAGATTTCTTTATAGCAACAATCCTCTGGGAGAATGATTTTGCCATATCAAAAGTCAAAAGTAATCCAAACGTGAGAAGTAGAATGATTTTGGCATGTTGAAAAGGAGAAGAATCTGAGGGTAGTCAGGAGGAGAGGGAAAACCACTATATAAAGTTTATTGAATTGATGATACACACACACACAGAGTTTAATTTAGATAATCAACTAATTTCGCGATGGCATTCATTTATCATTCAGTCACTGTAATTGTAAGTTTGTAAGTAAAAATCAGGGTCAGAAATAGCTAACTCTATGGTTGACTCTCACATTCAAAGACCTTGAAATTTCAGACAATGATTGATTGAAAAATGAAGGAATTACCGGTAGAAGCTAGGCTAGTTTATTACAACAAATGCAACTATATTGCATAAGAATAAACACAAACCTTTCGAAAATCATTTTCAGAAAAGCTTTCAACCACCTTCGCTCCTGATGTAAAGAATCCTCGCCCAAGAGGACTGTATGCTACAATTCCAATGCCTAGCTCCCTAAGAACATCATATATGCAAAATTAGAGGTCACAAAATTATATGATAACTGATAATCAAAAGCTCCAATAGAGAGGAAAATATGAATATTATAAAATAGAATTGTCGTCCGTTTCAAATTTCACCTGCAAGTTGGAACTATATCTTCCTCCACATCTCTTGCCCATAAGGACCACTCCAATTGCACAGCTGTTATAGGATGAACAGAATGTGCTCTTCTAATTGTTGAAGCTGAGGCCTCAGACAAACCAATATATTTAATTTTTCCCTCCTCAACAAGTTTCTTGAGTTCCCCAATCTTAGAGTAAACAATGCAGGAATAAGTTAATAATTTTAGATCATACAGATAAGCAAAGATATGCTGTCAAGGAGAAAACAAAAACTTTCAAAACCATTGACAAATTCTCAAAACTGTCGACAATCGGCTGTTCTACATTGGCAACATGATAACTTCATAAAACATAAAGGGCTACATTGATAAAATAAACCTTGAGGGACTCCTGACCTTAAATTAAAAAAAAAAAAAAAAACTTGAGGGACCAAATCGATAACTAAGCCACACATGAATAGCCAAAAGTTCCATTGCCCCATTCTGCAAATAACAAATTTCTAGCACCATGATGCCAAAGTAAACATACTTCTAGGACCAAATATCACGCCTTCATATTCAGAACTCAGGTAAGGTGAAGAAAGATTAGTAGTTATAAGCACATAGCTAAATATCAAAGTGACATTTCAAAGAAACCATTAAGACCCTGTTTTCTTACACTTACGGCATTAAATTGGTTTTCCACCTGAAGTCAACCAAAATCTAAACATTAAAAATTATCAAACTGCATCACATCTTTCAGCCGAAACAACTGTTGAATATTCAAAATATCCAAAACATGAGTGAAAAACAGAGGTGAGTAATTGTGAGAAAAGCGTTCAAGAAGGTGGAAGCCTTGTAAGAAAAGTAATATCACAATATCATTCTTCATAACTAACAAATTATCGAAAGCCAGAACCAAGAACCATTATTGTAAAGCTTCCGCAATCCCAAACAATGCTTAACAATTTGGTCCAAATCACTACATGAAAGCTACAATGGTAAAAAAGTTTAGTTTTAACACACACTATTTAAATCAAATGTCTATGTTAATCCCGACAATTCCCCAGGAACAAAGCAACAAGTTCAAATTGTAAGTAAAATGCTTAGATAACACAAACCGGACGGGAAAACTGTAAGTTACCCAGAGAAAAGAATATCAAAAGCAAAACAAGGACGGACCGTGACTTCAATAGGCACACGATTATCAACACGATGCTGGTAATAGAGGTCAACGCAACTGACGTCCAGTCTCTTCAAGCTGGCCTCACAAGCCGCTCTAACGTATTCAGGATCGCCACGGATATCAAGCTTGCCATCGGCAAAGGTGAGTCCGAATTTGGAGGCCAATTCAACTTTCTCCCTCACGTCTCCCTTCAACGCCTGTCCGAAGAAATCCCCACACAGTTCGTCATAGAATCAGACCGAGCAAACACGTAGAAGCAACAGAATGAACTGTGAAGTTGGTATCGATCATACCTTTCCGAGAAAAATTTCATTAGCGTTACGGAAGTAAAAATCGGAGGTGTCGAGAAATGTGACACCGCTTTGGATGGCGTGGCGGATCAGAGCGACCATGTCGGGCTCGGGCTTGCCGGGAGCAGAGAGATCCCTGCACCCAAGTCCCTGGGCCGAAACCTCCAAGCCTTGTGACCCGAGCTTGATCCGACCCACTTTCGCCATCTCTCAGGACAGGGATGAGCTTCTTGTGTGCTTATGTTACCCTGTGCCACTGACCTAGAAGCACCGGATTGGGAGGGAGGCAGTTATAGTGTATTATCCATTCTTTTTTTGTCTTTTTGTTTTCTTGGTTACACCAAGGGCTAAGCCCAAAATAAAGTTACCAAACCAAGGGGAAGTTAATCCCCTACACGCTCTATCCTCTATCCACTATTGTCCTTAAGTGCAGCGGGCAGCCATCCAAAATTGTAGACCTTGATAGCCCATATTTGGCTAAGGCATCAGTTAATTGATTCCTCTCACCTGGGACGTAGTGAAACTGTAACTCCCAAGGTTTTCCCAAGAGATTTTGAATTTGCAGAAAAACCAAGCTGCCATTTACTTCGTTTCTACTGCCTTCCAACAGCTCAATCAATGGGAAATTATCTGATTCTAGAATCATCCTATTGAATCCCAATTCTCAAGCAAATGAGAGACCCTTAAACACTGCCCAATCTTCAGCTTCATAGGCACCACAGACTCCTAGATGATGAGTAAACCCAGCTATCCAACAACCAGTACTGTCTCTTAATACTCCTCCATATCCAGCTCTCATGCTTACAGATGACATAGCACCATCTCCATTCAACTTGACCCATCCCGAGCTTGGTGGTTGCCACAACAAAGAATGATGGGGATTCTGCCTTGTGTTTGTAGAATTAAATTCTTTCACCTGCACATAATGTTTTTGTGAGTGCAGAATCATATTCACCAGTTCCGTAGGTTCTTGGGAATCACTATTGAAAGTCACACTGTTGCGCCATAACCATAACCTCCAGATGGTAATTCCCCACATAAGGTCCCATTATCATCAGAGTATCTGCCCATATCCTTCTTCAGATTCAGAGCAAACCAATCCCTTCTATCAGCTGCAAAAAATTGAGGATGATACCAAATCCAACCGAACTTTTCTAGCATAAGAACGGTCCCGTAAAATATGCATACCATCTTCTATCTCACAGTTACAATGCAAACATAAAGGCGAAGTGTTAGCCCAAGAACTCCTCCAAGCATTAGTAAGAAGTCTATTGTTAAAGGCTATCCACATAAACACTCTAACCCATTCCACCCTTCTCCACTCCCAAAAATCTTTAAATTGTCTTGGAATCTTCTATTTCTTTTCTGATTCCCATCACTATCTTTCTTCTTGTTATACTCTTTTCAGGCACATGTGGAAGATTTGGTTGGGAAAGAGGCGATGAAGGAGTATGATGCAGCAAGAACAATTTTAGCCCAGCTTGCTTATGATTCAGAGAAAGGCCTTAAGGAAAGAGGAAGTGATAGTGCAAAACATACGAAGAAAACAACAAATAAGAAAACCCGTAAACAAAAGAGAAAAACTAAGGATTCGAAGGTAGGGTCATGAATGTCGGAATTTGTCCACTACTGTGCATAATATGACCATGATTCCATTCCTTTTTCTACTATTACTGATGACTTGGAACACGTAGAAGAGGAAGAAGGGGGGAAAACTTGAAACTTTGGAGTCACAAGGACAGTTAGACGATGAAGACAAACAACTTGAAGAAGCTTTGGAGTTACAACGACGATTAGAAGAGGAAGCTAGACTTAAAGTTCAAGCAGAAGAAGACATGAAACAACTTCAAGAAGCTCTGGAGTTACAACAACGATTTGTAGAGGAAGCTAGACTTAAAAATTCTGTCAGAAGTGTTGGCAGCAGCACCTGTAAGATAAATAGTTAATCCGAGTCACGTCCTAAAGACACTGTCTTTAAGAGTTATTCCGCAGCCACCGGTAGATAAGGATGCGGTACTTCCTGGGATTAAACGAATCCTTCCTGTAAAACAAGGTGAGCAGAACAGCAGAAGATAGTAGTAAACTCAGCAGGTAAGAAAACACACAAGAGAGGGAAGAGAGGAGCTTGAAAACTCTAGAATTGTATGTAAAACCTTAGACTGAAACACCCTTTTATAGGTCTCATTTTAAACGTTGGCAGCCTCCTTTTCACATTAAACCGCTAGTTTTATAAATTGAATGCATGCCATCAATTTTATGGACGTTGCAATATTATGGACATTGGAAGTAAATAGAGAATCCGTTCACTATTTCAAAAACATTATTTAATATATGATCGGTTAGTACATTAAAGATATTTGAATGGACCATACTGATTTCAAATTGCTTCAAGACGTTTAAATGTCTTGAAACCCGTTTGGCACTTTCTAAGTGCAATAAAAACCTACCGTTTTTATTTAGAATCTTCTACCGTTTGATATTTGAACCTTTTTTTTTTTTTTAAATACAAACGGCAAGCTAAGCTTGAGGGGGTTAAAAAGTAGATCACTCAACAAAAGAGGGGGCCCTTGGCCTGTTGCCAGATATTTGAACTTTTCAACACATTAAAATAATAAATACTCCTTTGGTCCTATTTATAAGGCACTTCCAACAAGTTTCACACAGACCAAGAAAAACTTTAAACTGCATTAACTCTTCATTAAAATATAGCAACTTTCCAATTTTACCCCTATTTAATATATACCATTTTCAAAAAAATAACTATCTACACTATAATAAATGAAAGACAACATGGTAAAGTCATAGTAAAAATTTAATGAGGTGACTTATAAATAGGACAAAAAAAAACCTTTTCTCTCTGCCCTATAAATAGGACCAGAGGAGTACCTATTAAGAATTTTCAAACACTCAATCTTTAAGGCATTGAAAATCCATTTATGACATTAAAACTCTTTAATATTTGATTTTCCTATTCCTAATAATAATAGGAAAATCTGTCCATGATTAATGCTCAATTTATTTTCATCTTCCCACGTTCCCAATTAATATAGGATCCTTTCTTTGACACATCCAAAAAATATTACAAGAAGAAGAAGAGGAAAAACAACTTGAAGAAGCTTTGGAGTCACAACGATGATTAGAAGAGGAAGCTAGACTTAAATTTCGGTAAGAGGAAAAACAATTGAAGAAGCTTCGAAGTTACGATTAGAAGATGATCAACAAAAAAACAGAAAGTGCTTGCTGACCAACAAAAAGAATCCTCTTTGGAGAAGCTGGACGACAATGTTCTTGACCCCGGGCAGAAGGCTGTGCTTCAATGGACGACAATGTTCTTGACCCCGGGCAGAAGGCTGTGCTTCAATGGTCTGTCGATCTGTATAGATATGAAAGTGATCCCAAACTCGCGGCCCACTTTGTACTTGTAGCTAATTAAAAGGTTCAATGACTCAGTGGAATCACGTCCTTCAAGACTCGGATCGAAGCTGTAGAATGAATAGGTTCTTCTGTAAATGAATTCACTCTTCCTTCTTTGTTTTTCTTCTCAGATCCATGGTCAAACAGGTAGTTTTGCCTTTTCTACTACGACGTCGGCTTTCATGTAGCGAGAACGCAAGGCTGATTTGTGAGGGAAAAAAATGAGCTTTTTAGAATTATTAAAGAAATAATCTATTCCGCCGAAAGAAAATTAAAATAATTAAAATATGATCCATATATCATAACTAAAGGCTAAAGGTAGTAATTTTAGTTTTGTGGAGATTTACGATTTGGAATTAAAAGACTTACGTGGCTTTTGTTTTATCCACGAGTTTCGACAATTAGTTTGCGTGACATTGTTGTTACTGTTAGATTTTGAGGGTTGGCAAAAGAAAAAAGGATTTTGAGGAATGGATGGGTCTTTTTAAGAGGAGAGGGAAAAAAAATAAAATGGGAGCAGAAAAGATTTTTATTAAAACCAAACCAAACTAATAACAACTAATGACTAGTGCCATGACTGGTCAAAGAATTTTATAAAACTTATCGATTCAATATATATATGTGTGTATTTATAGATATTAAATTTTTTAGTTGTAAGTAAAAAATGAAATTATTTTAAAATAATTTTTATATTATAATATTTTATAAAAGTTATTCTTGTCCATAATTATCAATAATTTGTCATTATTAATTTGTTGTTTACATATTATTCATCTAAATTTGCACTTTTTTCAATCAGCTGCCGTTTTCTCCTCCTGTTTTTTTTTTTTCTTTTCCCGAATTGAATGCTTCTTTTGAATTTAAATATCTTATGAACGGTGACGACGGAGTACTTCGCTGGTTCATTGTACAATGATTCTTGTCAAGAGAAATATTGTCATTTATGAAGAGAAGCTTGCTCTCCTCAGCGATGTTATGAATGAGACTTAATAGTTCGACTTTTTTCCTCAAAACTTACTAGTTTGACTTTTTTCTCAAAACTTGCTATTTTGACTTTCTTCTCAAAACTTACTTTTGACAGTGCATCTTTTTAAGAATTCTGGTCTCTTTTTCTTATTAATTTCGAGTCAGTGCAGAATTTCAATAATACTACATTCGATCCTTAATATAAGATCCCGTTTGACTTTTAGTTTAGTCCTAATTATAAGACCCCAATCTATTTTGTCTCTCATATTTATGTATTTTTTTCCAAGATAGTCTTTCTAATAATGATAGTTCTAGTCAATACACTTAATTAGTAAGGATATTTTAGGAATGACAACACTTATTTATTACAAATAACTAACTTATTTTCTTAATCTCCTCAAACTAGTCAATTAGGTCTTATAATTAGGACCGAAGGTAGTACTTCTTTGGTTTTTAATACAAGACATATTTAACTAATTTGATTAAATTAAGGGTTAAGGTGCAATTTTAACAACAAAGTTTACCCTAAGGAGCACTGGGCACCATAAAGTTTATTTGGGTGCAAAAATATATATAAAGTTGTCAAAAGGGAGCGTCTAGCACCATGCCGTTAACATCCGTCAGTTTATCGTTAGAGGGGCTCAGAAAGTCAGTTTTAAGGTGCATTTTTAACAACAAAGTTTGCATCAAGGAGCATTAGGCACCATTAAATTTACTTGGGTGTAAAAATATATATGAACTTTGTAAAAGGAAAAAAATGACAAAATTCTTCAACTTCCATAAACATCCATTAATTTTATTCTTTTCGGTCTCACCAAATGCTATATTTTCTCTCTATAAATTTCCACTTCCAAGCCGATCCATCTTTCTCTCATCATAGTCAACACGCACACTCTCTCTGTCATGTCGTTTTTTGATCCTCCAAGCCTTTTATATGTATTTAAGCAAAACACATCTTTCCCTTCTAGGATATAAGGTTCATTACTTGCATCTGAGTATTACCTCCAGTCCTTAATATAGGATACAATGGACTAATTTGAGGAGATTAAAATAAATAAATAAAATACTTTAAATATTATATTATTTATTCATTTGACGCAATAGCATATAGTACATGATCTCTCTAAAATATTTATATGCATCATTAAATTATATATTAGTTTACAAACCAAGAAAATTAATTTGGAGAAAAAAAACAATAAATATAATATTTTAAAGTAATTTATTTATTTATTTTTAATCTCCTCAAATTAGTTCATTGCATCCTATATTAAAGACCAGAAGTAGTACTAGGATGCAAGCAATAAACCTCATATCCTAGAAGGGAAAGATGTGTTTTGCTTAAATACATATAAAAGGCTTGGAGGCTAAGAAAATGATATGACAGAAAGAATATATGTGTTGACTATGATGAGAGAAAGATGGATTGACTTGGAAGTAAAAATTGATGGAAAGAAAATATAGCATTTGATGAGACCTAAAAGAATACAATTAATGGACGTTTATAGAAGTTGAAGAATTTTGTTATTTTTTTTCTTTTACAAAGTTCATGTATATTTTTACACCTAAGTAAATTTCATGGTGCCTAATGGCCCTTGATGCAAACTTTGTTGTTAAAAATGCACTTTAAAACTGACTTTTTGGGCCCCTCTAAAGGTAAACTGATGGATGTTAACGGCATGGTGCCAGATGCTCCCTTTTGACAACTTCATGTATAGTTTTGCACCTCAATAAACTTTATGGTGCCCAGTGCCCCTTAGGATAAACTTGTTGTGTTAAAATTGCACCTTAACCTTTAAATTAAAAAAAAT